CCCCCCCCCCCCGGATGAGTTGCAGCTCTGTCCCACACCCTGCCCCACCCTGACTAGGCAGTACCTGCTCCAACCCCACTCCTTCCCTCACTGCGGGAGCCTTGATCTGCCCCCCGCCCCATGCCCGTTTCCTTCCCCCTCCTCTTCCACCACGACAGACTTACTAGCTGCATGCAACTCTCCATGCTGAATCAGAATTAAGGTACCATATAAATTCATCCCTGCCCCCAAATTCTTCTAAAAGTTGCTTTCAAATGTCCTTGTTTGCTTGGTTAGAAAATGGGCTGTTTAAGATCTGACCATTAAAAAGGGGGCATGGTACATTAAAAAAAAATGTAAATAAAGGGGTAACCCAAGAGATATGGAGAAAGGAAGTTGGGCTCTTTCCCTGTCTACTGCTGTGAGTAATCCCATTGAAATTAGTGGGCCATACTCATGGTAGTAAAGTTAAGCGCGCGCACACAATTGTTTGTAGGACTAGGATCCTAAACTTGGTTGGTTTTAAACTGCCAAAGTCTGTTTATACCTTTTTTTTCCTAATGAACAAATACCAATGGTAGGATATTAAAAGAAGGAAAGGGGAATAATCCAACATTAAGGCTACTAGATTAGGCTGAAAATTTTGAGTCCAGAATTTCAAAAAAGGTTGCCGTCTGCCATCTTGTATTTCTTCCCCTTAGGGCAAAGGTGGACAAAATGGTGGATCCGGCTGGCAGCCAGACTCCGTTTCCCAGCAGCCCCTGCCCATATGGCTGGGGCTGGTCTCTATGGAGATCCCAGCTGCTGCTGCACTGTGATATAGCACAAGGCTGGGGTTGCCGTTGAAACTGGCCCCAGCCATGCGGGCAGGGCAGGGCAGGGCGCTGCTCTGAAACCCTGGGATCTTGCAGTGGGGGCAGCTTGGTCCGGGGCCAGGGCAGAACTGCAGCACACCACTTAGGGCAGAGGTACACAGGCAGCAGATCATGGTGCTGCCCCTGCTCAGAACCACAGTGTCACTGCTGCAAGCAGCTGGTGCACAGCTGTGATCTGCAGCTTGCATGCTCTGGGCAGGGATGTGCAGGTAGCGGACTGCAGCTCAACCCTGGCTCCTTGCAGCAATGGGTGACTGTGTGGTCCTGAGCAGGGGCAGAGCCATGATCTGCTGCCCGCACACCCTTGCCCCAAGCATACAGGCTGCAGACTGTGGATCTTTCCTAGCTCCGGACCAGGCTGCCCCCACTGCAAGATCGCAGGGCTCCGGAACAGCCCCCTGTCCTGGCCCACACCTTGCCAGCGTAGCTGGGGCCGGTCTCCATAACAGCCTCAGCCTTGCACTATCACAGTGCAGCTGTGGCTGGGGTCTCCATGGAGACCAGCCATGCAGGCAGGGGCTGCTGGGAAATGGAGTCCACTGCTGCCTGGATCCGGCCTATGGACCAAACTTTGCCCGCCCCTGCCTTAGGGTAACACATTATACCTGTAACTTTATACCTTGCAGTATAACGCACTATATCTCAAGGTATAGAGGCTGAGTTTAATATTCAAGTTTTAAAGTTAAGCACTTACATGATCAATCTTGTATGAATATTAGGGTTTAATATATTAACTTTATTTGTTTTTTCAAAGTAAACGTGAAAGCAGTCTGCTTTGAATATCCTAAATGATAACAATTGTTTTTAAGAAATTCAAAGGGACTGTTCAGATTATAGCCCTAAACCTCTGATCAAAATGACAAACTGCTAGAGAAATTGAATCAAATTAAAAATCACCATTATCCATTATTTCTAGGAATGTCTAACTGCTATATTTTTTTGTATTTTAGTGTAAATGTACTTAATGGACAGATCAGCAATATGGATGATTCAAATACAAATACTGAAATTACTGGTGCTAAAGAAGAATTCCTAGATGATGACAACTTTATCTCTGAGGAAAAGGGTGGCATTCCTAAATCACAAGAGAGCGAAACGTCATTTCAGAATAATGATACATTGACTCTGCCTGAAGAGCTATCAAGGGACAGATCTGAAAAAGCCTTAAGTGGAGGCCAGACTTCTCTATTTATACATACTGGTGCTCCTACTGTTTCTAGTGAAAACTTTATCTTGCCGAAAGGAACTGCAGTTAATGGACCAGTTTCACACTCCACCTTAACTAAGACTTCTATTATGAATAAAGGCGGTGCTTCATTAACCACTGGGCAACCTATGGGTCATCATACAGATTCGTGTTCAACTTTGACAGTGGTTCACGACCTTCAGCTGCCTGCAAAGAGTACAACGCAGAAGTCAAGTCAGCACCAAGTTTTATTTTTGTTACCTGATGTAGCACATGCGAAGAACCTGACTCATTCCATTAAAAATCTACCTACCTCTGCTTCAGTTGGTTGTGATACGCAGAAATCTGTAGGAAATAGTGTAGATAGCACTTTAATAGGTGAAGTAGAAGTGTGTGAAGATGGCAAAGGTTTACTAGTAAAAGATGATTGTGTCAATACGTTAACAGGTGTTTCCTCAGGTACAGGTAGTTTCAGATCGGGAAGTGATCCCAGCTGGGATCCTCAGAAAGAGTTCATACAATTTCTTATGACAAATGAAGAAACAATAGAGAAATCTCCTGTTCACTGTAAAGTAGGTCTAGAGAAAAAAAGAAAAAGAAAGATGGATGTTAGCAAAATAACACGGTATACTGAGGACTGTTTTAGTGATTCAAATTATGTTCCCAGTAAATCAAAATTACTAAATGTTGATTTTTTAGAGCAGAATGAAGAACTACAAGTAGTAGAACCACAAAAATATGCATTGGCAAAAGTGAAGCCTGAATCAACAGATGAGGAGTTGGAAGCTGTGGACGCTATCCAACAATTGATTTATAGTCCCACTAATAAATGTGCAGAAGATACTTCTCCTGTTCACACTGGCACTTTTCTTTCTAATACTTTAAAAAACAAATGTGAACAGAGTGATTCAGAATCACCATCCACTTTCAGTACTGATGAACCATCGTTTTATCCCTGTACAAAGTGCAATGTGAATTTTAGGGAGAAGAAACACCTGCATAGGCATATGATGTATCATTTAGATGGAAATAGTCATTTCCGTCATCTCAATGTCCCGAGGCCCTATGCATGCAGGGAATGTGGACGGACCTTTCGAGATCGTAATTCGCTTCTTAAACATATGATAATTCACCAGGAAAGAAGGCAAAAATTGATGGAAGAAATCCGTGAGTTGAAAGAACTCCAGGATGAGGGTAGAAGTGCACGTTTACAGTGTCCTCAGTGTGTATTTGGTACTAATTGTCCCAAAACATTTGTGCAGCATGCTAAAACCCATGAAAAAGATAAAAGATACTACTGTTGTGAGGAGTGCAACTTCATGGCTGTGACAGAAAATGAATTGGAATGCCATAGAGGTATTGCTCATGGAGCAGTAGTGAAGTGTTCAATCATCAGTGGTGATATGTCCCAGAGGAAAACACAGAAAAAAACTTCAATGAAAGACCCATATCTAGGGTCATCAAAAAAGTCATCTACATATATGTGCAAGATGTGTCCATTTGTTACGTCTGCCAGAAGCATTTTAAAAAAACATATGGAATACTTGCATCCAGCTTCATGTATTGATCCTTTTGGCAGCCATCTTAAATTAGAAAAAAGGAAAAGTAGTGTAATTGAAGAACCTTTAGATTTTGGTAGCAGAACTAAACAGTTGATCAAACAATCATCTACATTTCCAAAGAACTCTGTTTTAAAACAAGATGTAAAGAGATCATTTGGCTCAACTTCACAATCCAGTAACTTCGCAAAACTTCACAAGAGGCCCCACAGGATACAGAAGGCTCGGAAAAGCGTTTCACAATCAGCTGTAAGTGTGTGCAATCTAAATTCTACCAGCAAGGCTATTTTTATTAGAAATAGCGTTGACCAAAAATCTAAATATTTTCATCAAACAGCAAAGCAGAAAGCTAGTGTCAAAGCAAGTGGTAATTATTTTCATAGACACAAATATGAAAACAACAGAATGATTAAAAAATCTAGTGACTCTTATCCTTTACACTTTAAAAAGGAAGAGTCCAGCTCTGTCGGTTCTTTATGTTTATATTCAACAAATAGTTTCCATAATAATAGTTTTATCAAGGATTGTCATAAGCTTGATTCCAAAAGGTCAGAAGGCTATAAAGATCATAGGCATGTAGCTATAAAAAGAGTGGTTAAAGAATCCAAGAGGGAAGGCTCTGTTACAGGAGAGGATTTGGATTGCTATCCAGATTTTCTGCATAAAATGACTGTTGTTGTTTTACAGAAACTTAACTCTGCTGAAAAAAAAGACAGCTATGAAACGGAGGATGAAAGTTCATGGGATAATGTTGAATTATGTGATTACACTACACAATCTGTGGAGGATGAGTCTTACACTGATATTAATCAGGAGCATGTAAACCTATTCCCCATATTCAAAGGTAAAATGGAGGATCGTGAAGCTGGTGATAAATCTTCTCTTAGTTATGAGCAGAACGATGGCTTTTATTTTGAGTATTATGAAGATGCTGAGGGTAGTAACTTCCTACATGATTTACACGATCCTCAGAACTTAGAAAATGTAGGAACAACATTGCCAAAGCATAATTCAGTTTTTCATTGGACTGATTTGTCACTTGAGAAGAAGTCCTGCCCATACTGTCCAGCAACATTTGAAACAGGTGTTGGATTGTCTAATCATGTCCGTGGACATCTTCACAGAGCTGGATTAAGCTATGAAGCCCGTCATGTTGTTTCACCAGAGCAGATAGCAACAAGTGACAAAATGCAGCATTTCAAAAGAACTGGAACAGGAACTCCTGTTAAACGAGTTAGAAAAGGTACGGTTTCTTAGTTTGGGTGTGCAATGAATGGGGATTAAATTGTCTTTTGAATATAAAAATAAGTCATTCTGAAAGCTTTTTTTTATACTTGGTATTAAAATTTTACCATAGTTAATGTAATTATGTAGAGCAAAATGGTTGAAAAAAATATGAATAACTATTTTCCTTTTTAGCTATTGAGAAATCTGAAACTTCTTCTGAACACACGTGCCAGCTCTGTGGAGGTTGGTTTGATACTAAAATTGGATTGTCTAATCATGTGCGAGGACACCTGAAAAGGCTTGGCAAAACCAAGTGGGATGCGCACAAGTCTCCAATCTGTGTTCTAAATGAGATGATGCAAAATGAAGAGAAATATGAAAAAATCCTAAAGGCATTGAACAGTCGCCGTATTATTCCCAGACCATTTGTCGCTCAGAAACTTGCATCAAATGATGACTTTTTATCTCAAAATGTTATACCTCTTGAAGCATACCGTAATGGCCTAAAGACTGAAGATATATCAGTGTCTGCATCAGAGGAAGAAGGGCTGAATTTCCTAAATGAATGTGATGAAACAAAAACAGTACTGCATGATGAAAAAAAAAATCAGTCACTTACACTGATAGAACTTCTGAAAAATAAAAGGTTAGGAGAAGAAAGGAATCCTGAGATTTCTCCGCAAAAGATTCATAATCAAACTGCAAGAAAGAGGTTTGTTCAGAAATGTGTTCTTCCATTAAATGAAGACGGTCCATTGATGTATCAACCACAAAAAATGGACTTGACTATGCAGTCAGGTAAGAGGACGTTTCTGGCTAAAAATACTTCCAAAGAGTTTTTTATTTATTAGAATGTGTTTGCCAGTGTAGAATATTTTCTTAGAACCATATTCAACTTTTTTCCTTACTTTGCCAAGTATTAAATGAGGAAAGAGTACAATGAGCTTTTCTTGAGTAACCTTCCTAATATTAGTGTTCATCAGTACTGAGACCTCTCTCATGGAATATAATTCTTTTTCTGCATTTAGGTAGATGCGTACATTTAAAAAGGGGCCATAAATGAGAAAAAAATTAAAACCAAAGCACAATTGGTTTGCAAAATATATTACTCCCCCCAAAATCAGTTGAAATAGCTGAATGCAAACATTAGATTTTTCCAAACACTAGTTCATGTAAAAGCAACATTTATCCAAACTGACAGGACTATTTGTCGGTATTACAATGGCATGGTATTTCAAAATGATGAACTGTTATTGAATAATACCAACATGTTAGGCAAACATACTCTTTCTGTGTAAATTAATGCATGTCTGTTATAAAACTGTGGCTGGTGTGAGAAACTGCTGTTCTCTTCGGTCCTGTCTAACCTGGGAGAAGAACTGTGCTAGTTAGAGCTCTGAATACAGTTGTTGCCTGCAGGGTTCTAACACGCAATTCCTGACTTGTTGTGGACAGATTTTTTTTTCCCTGAGAATTGTGCTGACAAAACAATTCTGCAATTTTAAGACTGCTTTCTAGATACTCCTTAGCACAGCTTTGAAAAATGTTCTTTACACAGCTGTCGCACACTATCTGTTTCCACTGTCGGGGAAACACTTCTAGCATCCTTTGATAACACTTATGTGTATATAAAGTTAGCATGTTTCTGCTCCTAGTTTGGACACCACCTTATAGTACTGCAATATCCTTTATATTGGCGTACAGGATCAACATTTTTGTTTTGCTGGTTCTCTTGATGTTATCTAGTGAGGAAAGTAAATCTGGCAGTGCAGTGCTTAATAGTTGTTCACCTGTATTCTTATCTTTATGAAAAACATCTTGCTTCTGCAATAGAAGTTGTCTTTACCACTCAGGTGAGGTCTGTCAGTCAGTTCCTTAACAAAGGTTGCTTTCCAAAATGGCCTTATAAAGGTGGAACAGAATTGTATTCAATGCTCGTGGGTATTTTTGGTTGTCCCTTAAAGAAGGGGAGGTTGCCTGACAAGAAAGTGTATATTTGGCAGGTTTACTCTATTTAGAAAACCAGAGTAGACAGTTTTCGAAAACCTGACATAGTGTATACTGCTTTGTGTTTAATATTTTACTAGTGAATGTTAGGTGCCACCTATTTGGCCGTATTGCAAAATCAAGTAATAATGAGCCTATGCTTGCATAATACTAACAATTTTAAATGGGGCCCCTGAATTACTTGTGATCTAAGGTAGTAGAATTTGACAACTAACCTCCTATAACCGTTGATTTAATAAGAAAAACTCTTAGGTTGTTTCCTAAGCAAAAATTGTTATTCCACTTATCTTTAATGTAGTTTCCATTTAAACATTGTTTTTGAACCAGACATTCTTCTGTCACTTTCCTGAAAACTATTTTTTCTGTGGGCTGCTGGGTAATAGGATACTTTTCATCCTGCAAATAGAAGCTTCCCCAACTAATTATTAAACAGTCTCGTAGCATATAGAAAATAAAAAAATAATAGTTGACTGCATTGACCAAGATTAATGTATTTTTGATAAAGTGAAAGAAAACACTTTGTGGTGTTATGGTAACATTGAGGGAGAAACAATTATAATGGTTTCTTTGTCTGGTAAGTGAGGAGTTTAGTATTGTTTCACTATGTTTTCTTTCCTGCGATAACTAAGATGTTACTTTGTTGATCATTTATTTAGCACAAAGATTTTAGCAAAAAACTTCAAATCATTAACTTTCATTATTGATTGCGCATCCAAAGTAATGAACATAAAATGCACTGAATAAAATGTTTTGTCTAACAGCTGTTCAGTGGTGTGTTTTACCACCTTTTCTCCCAGCCTTCATCAGCAGCCTAATTTAGTATTGAGCCTTTTACAGTCTTGTGGGTAAAACACTTTAATTACCACTTTGTCAACTAGACTTTTTTAATTCTCCTTATTGGGAATGTTGCAGGCTTTGAAACTTCTCAACAGAATTGTGCTATTCAAATCACAGGATTGTATTTTGGGGTTAGGAAATCATCTGCATAATGTGGAGATCAGGAGGAAAGTGATAATAGGTGTTAAATCCAGAGAAGCTTGCGGGGGGTTTCAAGTTGCCCCCCTCTTTTTTCTTTCTGAAATTAACATGGTTTGGCTCTAAACAGTATGTAGAGAAGTAAATAGTGGTTAACTTAGATCTTTCTAATATACTAAACAATTGCATCAATGCAGTGAATATATTTTAAACCATCTTTATTACAGAAAACTTTTTACAACGCTTTGAGAATTTCATTTTTTGAAGAGAGAACTGGATTATAGTTTTCTTTTGAATGATAGGTATGCCTGTGAAGCTTAGAACGTGTGTGCATTGCAATACGACGTTTACAAGTGCTGTTAGCCTGTCCAACCACTTACGCGCTTATGCACGAAAGAAGAGTGCTGGACTTTTGACTGGGACAGGTATGTTTTGTTACAGATGTAAAAAGCAAGTCTGTCTATGATGCATTTTCCTCATCAGACTGGACAAAATCATGTTAATCCAAAAAATAGTTTTGAAGCTTTCTCTGATGCACAAAGGTGAATTTCAGCAACCCGTAAGCATATAGCTGTTGCTGTTTGTCCATTTTTCATGTCTGGTTTTCATTCCTACTGACTCTTGAATTTAGCATTCCAGGTATGTAAACAAAGCTGTAAGCTGTGCAACTTTCATTCATACCCCAAATATAGCTACTGGCCCTTTATTAAGGGACAGGACAATTTAAAGTATTTGGACAGGTAATTTTTACCTGTCCATCATTAGATGCCACCCTTAGAGTAGTAGAGTTGAAATAGATGAGTGATTTTATTGCTTATACAGCTAAGAGTATATTGCGTAGTTAGTTTCCCAGTGGTTCACAGAGCCAGAATTGTTTGGTTGTGGGCCTATGGGATGAGCTTGGCCTCTTGCAGGCTCAGATCATGTGTTGTATCTGAGGCTACTTTTAATATATTTTTATTAAAATAGCTAGATCTCATGCTGGATAGAGTCCCTTGAATATTTTGTATTATGATCTAGAATAAGATGTAAAGCCCTGATCCTGCAGATGGTTGTCTATACGTGAATTCTAGTACTTGCACAGAGCATTACAGAAGTCAGTGGGACTTGTTGTGGGCTGTAGTGGGGCAAAAGGAGTGTGAACGGTAGGGAAACAAAGGGATAGGACTGAGGAAAATAGATGTAAAGCCTAGAATATGCATACCTACTAGGTAATAGGAAAGGCATTGGGTTATCACTATGCAGAAAAACAAGTATAGAAAGTCTGTATACTAACTGATAAGAGGCAGTGCCCCCACATCTTAATCCACAGATATACACAATATACTATAGCGTTTTATATTAATTATTTTCAGATTTGTAAAACAGTGGTGTCAAACTTTTTCTGTGAGGAGAGCCAAAAAATTTTAATTATGGTTTGCAGACTGGGCCCGTGAAGGCAGGGTTATAGGATTTAAAAATGAATCTCTTGTTAACAACAACAGAAAGTTTGGACAAAGTCTGCAGGTGGTATATGTTGACACTGGATTTACGACCCAGTCCTGCCATCTTGTTTTAGGCAGATCCAAATCCTCAGACCGACCATGACTTTTTCCATTTGATAATAGGCAAATTTTATTGATACACAGCGATAGCAGATAAGAGTAATGCAGGAAAAGTAAACAACCCACCTCTCCTACCCCAACCCTACTTACCTACCAGTTCCAGGGTTTTCACAGGGCAGTATGCCTGGCCAATATGTGAGCGTCACCCTGTGATTCTTTGCTTGAATGTCAGATATCTGCAGTCTTGGAGGTTGAGGGCCAATGCCCAACTCCTCTGGGGTGGACGAGACAGACTGGTGGTGTGCCTTCTGCCCAAGCCCTCAAGATCCCCCCTGCTGCTCTAAAAATCCCTCCTTTTGTGTTCTTTCTGTCATGATGACTCCATTTCCGGGTACTGTTGATTGGTTCCCCTGTGGTCATCATTCTGTCCACATTCCATCCTGCTAGCACATCCCTTTGTTTCTCAAACGTTATCATATGCGTACATCTTAATTTGGTCATTCACTGGTGTCTTAATTGAGGATCCCCAGCCTTCTATTTTGGTCATTTCACCAAAACCAAAAATCCCAGGCGCTTTGCAGCTGGTCACTGTGACCCAGTGCCAATTCTGCAGGTTCCTAATTTCTTGTTATGAGTTTTCAGGACATGTTTTCAATTTTCCAGCCTGTCTGTCTCCTGGCTTCAGATACAGTCTCTGCCTTGAAGGCTGAGAACATGAAACTTTGTCACAAATAGACTTTTAGAAACCAGTTAACCCTTGCCATTCCCCTGGACCATTGTTATAATGCAATATTTACTCTACCTGCAAGCCAGTTCCTAAAAGCAAGTCTCTAAAAATCATTTTCTAGCCATCAGTATACATTTATTTTATAGAAGTATATGGGCCTTAGGTAGTACTTGTTACATTTACTGTTTTCAGAATCATTCAGTGGAGAAAAGATGGAGGCATTTTATTGCCACAGTTTGTATTAGAGTTGTGTTTATATAGCAGGGGTGGGCAAAATATGACCTGCAGGCCCCACCAAAAGAATTGTATCCTACCTAGCCCTTCTGTCCAAACCATTCCCACCCCCAACATATCTTATTGCGCCTTGTTCCCACTCTTGTGGGAGAAAGGGCCCAGCCAGTAGCAGCTTCTGGTAGGGCTGCTATTGCAGCTGCCCCGGAGTACCTGCTTGGTTTCTCAGGTAGGGGCTGAAGGGGAAGCTGCAACTGGGTGGGGGCAGCGATTTGTGTGGGGCTGGGCCTGGGCCTGGGGCTGGGAGCAGCGTGGAGCCCATGGCCAGGGTAGTGGCAGAACTGGAGAGCTTGGCTGGGCAAAACGCAGGTGTGAGAGGCAGGGGTGGGGAGGTTGTGGGAGCACCCCACACACTCCCCCACATGGTGCACGGCCAGCAGAAGGAGCAGGCAGGGGCGCTTGAGGCACTCGTGCCTTACGTATACACATGACACCAGCCAGCACTGTGCGTGGGGGTGAAGAACGCAGCATGTCTAGTCCACCTCTTGTGGGGGCTCCACGCAGCACGTGTGTAGCTCCTGCACTTGCGCAGCACCGAGGGATACCCCACACTGGCTGCCTTCGTCACTCGCTGCTGTGCAGGTCCCAGGAGTCCATGTGGAAGCAGTAGATGGGGGCTCCCTTCACTCCCGGCAGAGTCCTGGGACCTGCACAACAGGGAGCAGGGAAGGCAGCTGGCTCCAGTGTGGGGCTTCCCCTGATGCTGCACGAGTGTGGGAGCTGCACATGCACTGTGTGGAGCCCCCATAATAGAGACAGGCTGGGCAGGATGTGCTCCTGACCCCATGCACAGCGCTGGCTGGAGCCATGCGCCACTGCCTGTACAGGGCATGAGCACCCCGAGTGCCCCTGCCTGCTGCTGCTGGCAGCAGGGGCTGCACATCATGTGCGGGAGTGTGAGAGGAGTCCCCACACACTCCCCCATCTTCCCTCACACACCCACACCTTGCTCCCACAACCTCCCCACATATACACCCCCCCATGCCCCGCAACACACAGCCTCACCCCCCTCCGCCACACTCCCCCACACCCTACCATACACACCCCCCCTCCCTCACACACTTCACCATACCCCACTCCCCCCACACACAATATACAAGAGTAAGACTTTATTTTTGGCTTATTATGCAATCCCCTCTGTATACACTACTCAAACACAAATCATGACAAATATTTTTTTCTGATAAAATTTAAATATATTATAGTAGGTGTTTGACTTCTTGTGTGTGATTTCCTTTTTTTTTTTTTCTGGTTCCAAGATGGCAACCCTCCCTTTCCAAAAGGAGTATTTCCAGGTGGCAAGCAGAGGGATTTCCAGTGGCAAAGGTCACGGGTTGTGGGGGTGGGACCCCCAGTCCCAATATGGCAACCAGGGGGTGAAGCAACTGTCAAGGGGCAGGGCTACCCATGCAGCCCTTGACAACTCATCAAAACTTGTTAAGTGGCCCTCAAGCCGAAATAATTGCCCACCTCTGGTTTATAGGGTTGGTTGGGTTGTTTTTTTTATTTGATTTTACTTTTTGCTTACCTATAGTTATTCAGCTTGTAGAGACAGTTGTCATTACAAAAGTGTTCACAATTGCACACCTAAATTATTAGAAAATACAGCTCTTACAGTTATGTTAGATTTAACATCTTAACTGGGGATGCGCAGTAGCTTAGGACAGTGGTTCCCAAACTGTGGTACATGTTAAGTGGTACGCGGAAGGCTGGGGGGAGGGACTGCACACACCCAGAGCCAGCAGCAGCCTGCTGCACACGGCCTGCTGTACATGGCCAGGAACACAGAACCCACTAGGTAAGTGTGTTGCGGGGAAGGGGGGTGCAGATTAAGGCCTCCACCGTGAAGGAGGTAGGGGAGCAGAGGCAGGGACTGGGGTGAATGGGCCCCTGGGATGGGTGGTGCAATGGTCAGAGCCCGAGCAGCTCATCCAGGGGCATGGGGGGGGGGATTCCCACCATTGCACACACCCTGGGGCAGGGATGGGGGGCACATGCCCCCTGGTTCTGTGCATGGGACAGAGGTGGGCTGCTGCTGTGTGATGGCCACTGGCCTGAGAGCCTCGCGCGATGCTGTGCGTCTGCCGTGTGCTGGCTGCACTGCATTCTCTGCCTGCCCAGCGGTGGCAGGCACATGGCATGCGGTGCACCTCTGGAGTCAGCTTTAGCACGGTGCAGAGGGCAGCAGCAGCCTGCTGCTTCTCGGGGATTTTCTCCCCTCGGGCCGGCTTGCCCTGTCTCTGTGGCAGGACCAGCACAAAGGCGGCCTGGGCCTTTCCAAGAATGCGGGGGGGGGTCCCCCTCCTGTGTGCACCCCAGGATCTGTGTGAGGGGCTCTGTACCACGTAGCGCTGCCTCTGGACCTGCATGGGATGTGAGGACCTCCAGAGGCAGCAGGGTGTGGGGGCCCTTCTGCTGCTGTACTCACCCTGGGGCAGGCACGGGGGCACATGCTGCCCATGTCTGCCCTGGAGTGCGCACAGCCCCTCCCCACCCACTGCCGCTGCTTCATACCGCGTGCTGGCTGAGTGCCTCCGCCTGCCTGGTGGCAGCAGGCACATGGCATTCTGCCCAGGGAGTCCCTGCTGCAGCTCTGGGGATTCTTCACTGCTCGTGCTGCACCTGGTGTGCACAGGCCAAGCAGGGAGCACCCCCAAGCCTTGCGTCCTGCCCCAGCCAGGCAGCGTTCCCCTGTGGGCAGGACGGCTGCACCCCACCCCCGCGGAGCTGCACGGCCTGGGCCAAGCCCCACCTCCGGTGCTGCTGAGCACCCCCACTGTGGCCTGAGTCTATATAGAACCCTGGGGCATTTCCTCCCCCCCCTCTCTGGCTGCTGCCTTCCCAAGAGCCTGGCAGGGCCAGC